GGAGGGTTTGGATCATCTAGACAAGAAGAATTACCAGTAATAATCGAATAAGAGGTCTTAGAAATTAACCAAGAGTCCTAGAAATGGTAAGGGTTAGTGTAAGTGAGTGATTATGCAGAATTCACGTACTGCAGATTATGCAGTGTCGCTATGCGAGTTGTCTCGCATAGCGAGACCCTGAAAAGGGGTACTCACTGTTTTGGAAATTCGCTGTGCGAGTTAGTGCGCTGTGCGAATTTCCAGAGGGTGATGCTCACTGTTTTTGGACTCGCCATGGCGAATCCTGTCGCTATGCGACTGGTGGTGGTTTAGGATCACTGCCTATTTAATTCGAAGAGCGAGTGAGGTGCATAGCGAGAGGTTTGAAGTGATGTACGCTGCGAATCAATTCGCCATGCGAAATAGGGTGCGCTATGCGAATTTTAGCGGTCCTTTTGTCTGGGAAATTCGCACAGCGCACAAGGGGGGGTGCGCTGAGCGAATTATGTGTCGCAGGTTGAGTGTTTTTGGTGTTTTTGATGTTTTGGGAGTTCCGGATGTCCGTTTTGGACGTTCTTTAGTTCGTTCTGGGGGTTTTTGACCCTTTCGGATCCATTGGTGAGGGTCTCCAAGCTGTTTGAATTACTTAGGTATTGAACATTAAAAGTCCTAAAGAAGTTTGTGTTAATACGTGATGGTTTTGTGAAAGTATGTAATTTATGAGTTGTGTTTATGACATGGTTGATGTTGTATGATGATGTAAATGAATATGAAGAGGACATCTCGGGGAGAGATGGATGAAAGTGATGTGTGGGGTGATGATGTTGTTCTGTATAACTGTATGGAGCTTTGAACTGGTATGTCTATCCCTAAACTCAAAGCATTGTTCATGCTCAAATAGAGAAGGACAATGTGAGTGGTGAGAGTAGAGGGAGGTCCTCGTCTATAGTCTTAGAGTTTAGACATAGACAGATTTGGGGGATTTACCTTGCTAGTGTTGGGGAGTGCCAGCTGAACTACGCAAGTGCAAAGACGACCAATAGTTCGACAGTTATACAAATCCGGATGAGTCGTGTGTTGGGGATTTACCTTGTATAGTGTTGGAGAAAGACCAGCTGAACTATGCGAGTGTAAATATGAGTCGTGTGTTGGGGATTTACCTTGTATAGTGTTGGAGAAAGACCAGCTGAACTATGCGAGTGTAAATATGAGTCGTATGAGGTTATGAAATGTGGGTTATGAGTATACTTTAATTTTTTTTGTATATGTATCTAGGTATGATGACATGAATTAACTGTGTTATGAGATAACATGTTTTTTATATCTAGCTCACCCTTGCATTATATGTGTTGCATGTGTTTGTCTTCTCCCTTGCGATGATCATCCAATCCTTTGGATGTGAGCAGTAGGTGATGATGTACCATTGGAGCAAGCTTTGGAAGTTGAGGAAGACCCAACCCCTAGTGCTTATGATTTCTACTAGCTCTTATTTTAAATAGCTCTTTAATTTGGAAGACTTCTAGCCTTCATTTTATCATGATCTGTATTTTGGAAACACTCTTTAGGTCCCATTGAATCTTTATTCAATCATGTATTTTGGAGAATTATGAACTTGTTCTTAAGTTTTAAGACTTCCCAGCCAGACTTGGATAACTGTACTCCTTAATCCTATCTATTGTGTACTCTTAACTGCTTTCTATTATTATAATCGATACATTCTACATATATACATTGCTATATATTTTGGGATGTCACAACGTGAACGTAATTTAACATATTTTTAAATGAGATAAATTCAAAAAAAAATTCTCAAGTTATCAATTTTTACCATTTTCATTTTTATTCATATTTTTACCATAATGTTTTTCTTTTAATTTTTAGGTATTTTATCATTATATTCATAATAAAGTTTCGTTATTTAAAAAAAATATGTGATTAATCTGTATAAGTTTTAAAAGTATATTTGAAAGAACTCGCTTTATAAGTTTAAAGTATAAAGTATAAATGTTAAGTTAAATGAAGAATAAATATTTTATGATTTTACAATTTTACAATTTATTTTCTATATTTTAAGGTTATTTTTCATCTCTTCTTTTATTAAAATGCATAAATTAGTAAGTGGTAAAGGATGAAATTATATTATTTAATCAATTTTTCTTATCAAGGTTTTTCCTTTTATGTCTTAACTACTTTTTTTCTTGTGATGTGTATTTGAGTTTTAATAAAAATGTGATACATGAGTTGAATAGACATTAAATTCACAAACAAAATTTGTGAACGAATACAAAAACTTTGGTTAAAACATAATGATTCACGATGATTAAAAATTTATCAATAAAGTACTCATCAATAAAATTTATTACTGAATTAAAAATTTTGTTTGAATTATCCATGGATAATTATCAACCACCTAAATTTATTGGTAATGGTCAATTTACAAGTATTTGTCAATAATTATCCATTCAGTTTTCTTTTTTTTTTATTATTTCTTTATCAATGAATTTAAAAATACGAGTTATTAATATATTTACTAACAAATTTTAAAGAAAAAAATCATTACTAACACGTTTACTTACGAATTTAATCTCGACATGATCAAAGAAAAATGAGAATTTTGGTGAAAATTTTTACACTTATTTAATCGACAAGAATATTCATCAATAATAAAAAATCAAATTATTAATAGATTTTATCGGTGTCAGACCTCGGAAAAACGCACCCAAATTCCACCTATCAGATCTCATTAAAAACGCACCAAAAACTCCTCTGAGCGGACGCCAGGTGTCGGGCAACGAAGATTCGAAATTCAGATAGTGGAAGGCAGGTGTCAGCGAGTGAGCGGACATTCGTTTGAACGAGAGAAGCAAAATCTAATTTTCTGAAATTTCCGTTTCACTCACTCTGCATGCACCTTTCTTCTCCAAAACTCTGATCTTTTCATCTTCTCCTACTTCTCTCTAGAAACTTTCCCTTCTCTATACCAAAACTCACCTTTTCTTTGCTCCGATTACCGTTCAGGCACTGTAGGAGCACTCTCGGCGTCTCGAGCTTCAACTTGAACCGAACAGTTTCGAATTCTGAAACTGGTAAGTTTCCTTCCCTTAGCCGTTCGTTCTTGTGGGCATGCAAACCATGGTCTGTTGTTTGATTTTGGTTTGAAGAGTAGTTGAACGTTGAGGGTAGAAGGAATCTTAGTTTGACAAAACCGAATTGCGGTCTGTAGGACGTTCGTTCACACTAGAGGTAAGGGAAGCTTATTCAATTTAATTCGTATGTTTTTACTGTGCTGCATGGATGTTCTGTGAGTTGTATGAAGCATGACTTTGTAATATTTGATTATTTGATATATGATAATGAATATGAGCTGATGTATGATGAATATGAAATGTGCTATGATATGAATGTATGAAATTATGAAGTTATCTGCTGAGAATGAGTTTGAATGTAAATAAATTCTGAATATGAAATTCCCCTATGATATTGAACGTTCGGCATTGAACGGTCCTTGACCGTTCGGTGTTTTCTAGTAAACTTCTTTGAAATTGAATTCTTTCATTTGGGAAGAATTCTAGTTGAGGATGAGCGCCTTCTTGTCATAGTGCTACATTTGAGCGTTCGGCCAATCGTAGATGCAACTGAGTGTTATGTGTTGAACCGAAAATCTCGTAAACTTGAATTTGTATATTTAGTTATTTCCTAAACACTGTCTCCATCGTATCTTATTATATTATTATTAATGTTTCTATTATAAGTTTAATTAGTGATAGACCTCATCCCAAGCTCTCGTAATGAGTGGCGCGCAGTCTTATACCGATCGTTTGTACTCGTCTTTGAGTGACCAACCTTGATAAAATAGCGTTCGTCAAATTTCAGTAGAATTTCCTTTACCGTGTTCGGTCATTGACTGACATTCGGTTCCTGTGTATGAATGACTCTAAATATGGATACTTAACGTTTTGACGTGTCTATTTTCATGGGATCCGGCCTAGAGCCTCTGTACTTGATTTATTGTTTGAATATGGGTATGAATTCACGAGAGTCAGTTCATTCAACTGATTTACGTTGTAAATAACGTTCGTCATATCGTATATGGTGGTGCTCGGTTTATTCCTAAAATCTGTTAGTAACCCTCTCGGTTTTATTCTAATCTGGAACAGGCGGCTTCTTGGTCTCGTTCCTAGTGTTCGTCCTCATTCTGAGTGAGGACTGAACGTTCGGTTTTATGGTTAGTAAAATTGGTGATAAAGATGAAGTTAAAATGATGGATAATAACAGATGAGTAGTATATGAGATGTATAATATGATGTGGAATGTGAACGAGCGTTCCGGGGAGGAGCGACTCTTGAGTGAAGAATTGAAGTTGGTAAAGTATGACTGTGGTAATGCTAAGCTGTCGATTCATCCTGATGTTCCGTGAATACTCGTCCTCATGTAGAGGAGGGTAGGTCATGTGTGGGAACGACAAGAGGTCCTGGTCCTTAGGGGTACTTTGGACAGATAGGGCTAACCTCGGGTGGCAGCTGTTGAGTGTATCCCAGTTACTACACCACCCGGGTGCACGAACGTCGTAGCTACACAGATGTCATACAGTCCGAACGGTCAGTCTAGTGATAGGCTTGGTATGATACATAACTTGAATTATCTCTTGTGTGTTGGATTGTTTTATGTATATTGATGCATGAATTAAATTATATAAGCTTACCCTGTGTTTTTCCTTGTGTTGTCTTGTTTGTACGTCCGTCCTTGTCGTTGCAATGATCATCCGTGTGGATGTGAGCAGAAGGAGACGCGCTACTGGAAGAGGCGCTGGAAGAAGAGAACTTGGTCGAAGTCGAAGTTAAGACTGAACAGTAAGACGTTCGGTTAGTAGAGTAGTTTTTGGTAAGGTGGTCGTTCGATCACCTTTTCCCTTCTTTTGTATGACCGTTCGGTGTTGGTTTTGTAAACCGTACGGTCAAATTTAACTTATCTTGTACAGTTAAGTTGGAAAGTTTATGTAAGGCCGTTAGGCCAGAACCGTACGTTCTTTTAATGTTAAGACTGATCTGAGTTATTATTAATTGTTAATATTCTATTATATGGTTTATTGCTATATTTTTGGAATGTTACAACCAGTGAATCTATTACTAACAAAAAAATATTTATCAATAATTAAAATTTTGTGAGATATATTTATGTTAAAGTATTGATATAATAATTATGTTTCATTTGTGAATCATACTTTCTAAAACTAAAGTTATGACTTTTTAAAACATCTGAAATAATTATTTGAAAAGCACATAGTTTTAGGTGAAAAACGCTAACGTGAAGGGTGAAAGTAGTTAGTTTTGACATATAGAAACCTTCGTAAAGGTAAATTGACATTTTTTTTTGGGTATAATTATGATTATAAATGTGATTTTGAATGTTGATAGTGAAATTGAATAAAAAATTATTTTGGATATGTTGTATGATTTATTTTATTATTGTATAACTACAAAATGTGAAACAAAATTTTCTAGATTTATTTTATTATTTTTGTAACTTATTTTTTATTTTCACTCTTAAAATGCTTCTTATTAAAGGTAATGTGATAGTTGTAACGAAGTGTGTTAAAATAAGCATTCATTAAAAGAGACTACGATTACTTCCATTGTTTCTTAATGTTCAAAGAACTTTATTTATTTTTTAATTAAGAGACTTTTATTTTGCACTAAAAAAAGAACTCAAATATCAAATAATTTTATGAAAACTTTTTGTTATTGCATTACTTGCTCCAAATTGAAAAAGAATAGAACTCGAGATTCGTATGGTTGGTTGACTAATTTTCCCATGTGATTTTGAACTTGTGTTGTTAACGGAAATATTTTTTTAGCCATTATCACCAACTCTAGAAGATGACTGAGTTGGGATTTGAATCAACATCAATTGTAAGAAGTGTCTATCACAATAGACAACCTAATCTCTTTTACTTCAACATTTCTTTGATTTAAACATCAATAAACACATTATTTAAGCACGTTTTAGATAAATGCGTAATCGATATGATGATAATGCCGACTTTATTTTTAACTTAAGTTCAAAGATAAGATAAAAAAATTATTTATAACAATAAAATTAGTTTGTAAAGTAATAATTTTACATATTATATATATATATATATAATCATTTAATATTACTTTTAGTTAATATAGAATTTCTAAAACACTTTAAATGAATTTATATCTATTTCAATTTTAGGAAACTAATTTATAGGATAAATTGTGTTCAATTTATAATATAATCTTTATGGTATAGGCTCAGAACTGAACGGTCGTTGTGGATACCATTCGCAATGTTGGGTCATAATTGGGCCAATGTTTAAAGTATGGGTGTTACTTCCTCCACCACCACAACTTGCTTCCTCCACCACCTCATTCCCCTTTTATCCTTTTCTTTATTTTTTCATTCCTATTTTACCCTTATTAAAATTTTAGGGTTAATATTATTTAAAATCTCA